CCCAAAAACCCCAAAACCCCAAAACCCCAAAACCCCAAAACCCCAAAACCCCAAAACCCCAAAACCCCAAATCTGGATGAATAGTGGATAATATTAAATATGGATTTTAGTAATGTTGAAAAGGCCATTGAGATTATCTCAAATCCAATGGCCCACACTGATCCTGAGATGAAAACTCAAGCCAATGAGTATCTCATTGAAATTCCAAGAGCCCATTATGCAGAATGGAAAAATCTCTTTGCCTATTTAGGAGAAACTACTTCAGATCATACTAAGTTTTGGATTTTGCAAGCTCTTTCTGAAATTGTCAAAGATTGATGGCTAGGCCTCAACACTGGTGATAAGAGTGAGTTTGGAGCTATAGCTTTTGAGTTCTTGAAGCATAACTATAACTCTATAATTCCAGTTCATCACTTTTGACAGAAATATTCTTACCTCTTCGCTATGATCATCAAATTGGGCTACCCTGACTCTTGAAGTAATGTGTTTGATCAACTGGAGACAATGGTAAAGGAATCAGAAGAAAGTCTTTCATTCCTCAAATTCACCTTCGCAGTGATGAAACAGATTAACTCAGAAATTGTTGAAAGAGAAAGTTACACCACCAATGATGACCTCCAGATGGCTACCAGAGTGAAAGATGCAATGAGACTTGGAGATGTCACAAAAATAATTAACTTAGCCCAAATAGTTCTCGAAAAATTTGACCAGCTACCAAAAGAACTTGTGATCGGAGCTATTGATACTCTTAAAGACCTGATCGACTGGAACGACCTTGCTCTCTTTGAACCAGCTTTTGAGATCATTACAAATTTCTGTGAAAACAAAGATTTTCAACAGAGTGCTTTATACTGATTTTATGCTTTTATGAAGAAGGGAATGGACCCAAGCGTTAAGATCAAGGTGATAAAAGATATTAACATTGTCACAAAAATCAAAAGTATCACTTTAGATTCAGATGACCTTGAACTCTGCCAGACAGTTTGTGATATTATCAAGAAAATGGGATTTCTCATACTCGAAATTGTTGAGACTGCACCTTCAGATTCTGACTATCAAGATGATGCACAAGGCTTGCTGCTAGAGCTGCTTCTTCTCAACGTGATGTTTCTTGAGTGAGATGATGTGAAATCTTTGCAATACGTAGCCCAATTCGTAAATGCCATGGTGCTTTACATAAAGAAACTCCAAGAATTACCAGACCAATTAGCTGAAATAGTGTTTAAAATTCAGGACCTGTGAATCCAAAAGTGTGAATACCCAGACTGGTTCTCCTTTGAAGAAAAAGATCTTAGTGAAGACGAAGAAATTTTTAATATTCTTCGGTGAGACTTATCTAATCTCTTCAGGAATACTATAGCTATCCCTGGGATGAAGGAGAGAGCTTTGAAGAAAATCGATGAAAGGCTAGATATCATCAAAGAAAATTTCGCATCTATGACCCCCAATCAGATCGAATGTCCATTATTTCTTTTGGGTGAAGTTTATGATATCATCTCAAGGGAAGATAATTCGATTTCAAATCCAGTGCATCAAGCAATCTGAAGCAAACTTTTGAGTATTGACTTCCTTAGCACAGAGAGCAACGAGGAACCATCCAAAGAAAAAGCTGTTGTGTATGCTATCTTTTACGAAGTATGTGTCAAATATGGTAGCTATTTCATCCATTTCCCTGAAGCTATCCCCCATATTATTGGAGGAATGATGAGTGAAAAGGGTATTCTGCATCCATGGAAGGTCTTGTCTAGTAAATCCTGCTACTACCTTCTTAGGTTCATCTGAAGGGTCAAGGATAAGCTTACCGATTATGCAGAGCTGATATATACAAATTCCAGGAAAATTATTGAAATGTATGAAGAAGGAAAAACAAATCTTTACCCCAGAGATATAGAAAACGTTTATGAAATTATTGGAAATATGCTGGAAAATTTCCAGATGCCTCCTGAAGAGATCAAGAAGATACTGTCTTATTACTTCGAGCTTATCTGGAACAAGATGAATAACACCACTGTGCTGCAGGGAAATATTGAGCTGATCAGGAGAATGAACTTTTTGATTAAGTCTCTCAAGCCCAGGAGTGCTTCTGCTTCTCAAGATATCCTGAAAGGAATGAGTGAGAATTTGTTGACTGTTTTTCAAGCTTATATCAATTCACCGATAAATGACTGAATAGTGTTTGTACAGAAGACTCTTACTCTAATTGGAGTTGAAATGTTTGACAATATAAATAACTACATTGAAGCTATGCTAGCTGCAAATACTCAAATTGGGCTAGATAGCTGCTTCAAGCTGATGACCTTTGTAATTATCGAACTTGAAGAGCAATCTTTCGAACTGTTTGACAAGCACATTGTAACTTTCTTTGACAGACTTGGGAAATTAGAGTTCCCTGAAGAGAACAAGTCTGATGAATCTAAAGATAAGCTTTCTGTTTTCGTAAACTTCATAAAGATGATAAATTCTTGAGTGCATAAGAACCCAATAATACTAATATCAGGAAACTCAGGAGCAATATTCGAGAGTCTGATGCAATTCTTTGCATTTCTAACTACTCAAAGTGTCCACAAAAATTTCAGAAAGGAGATTCTCCATATTCTCAGAACAATGCTAACTGAATTTAGTGGTTGAACTCTCGATCCAATCAAAAACATACACTTAGGGAACAAATCCAAAATTGAAGAAAGAAAAATAGTTGGAAATCCAGATTACGAAACAAACTACGACACCTTCATAAAAATTTCTTCTGAAATCTCCTTCGAGATCTTCAACCACATAGACATCAAAGACCCCATAGACATAAACTGAGTGTACCTCACCTCCCTCCTCCATGTCCTCTTGCTCCACAACATCCCATCCTTCAGTGAAATCTACCAATCAAAGATCACAAAAATCCACCCATCTCTAGACTTCACAGACCTCGCTACTAAAATCACCTTGTTCCTTGACGGCAAGCTAAAAGTACCAGATTTTAAACAATACATCCGATCTGTCTTCATCCCTAAATAATTCCCCTACTCCCTTCCCCACTCCCCCTAAAACCCCCCATTTCCTCCACTTCCCACCCAAAAGTCCAAACCAGCCCTTACCGCCTAGACTAGCCCTCTTCATAATCTTAGATCTTTAAGGTTCAAATTTTTAAGTGAAGTTGGGGTTTTGGGGTTTTGGGGTTTTGGGGTTTTGGGG